TCTCATACAGTCCAACTCTCTTCCACTTGGAAAGTGAATCATCCTTTTGTCCAGTGTCCACACTGTCTATACTACCTGTTAGTCACTTAGCAGTCACCTGTTATCAAGTGGGAAGAAAACAAAGCATATATGGTTTTTGGTGCTATGCGCAGTTTGAGGCACCCAATTGGGGGAGGGGGAGCCTTAGAATGCATAACCCACAGATGGAGGGACTATTGCATACAAGAGAGAAAATACTGAAGACAAAGCAGGGCTCTCAGGAAGTAGAAGGGGGTGAGATTTAGGGCTTTCTCATGATTTTAAACAGTTCCTCTTCTCAAGTCCTGTTTTTAGCTTTGTTAAATGCTAGGGCTGGTCCCATAGCATGGTGGTTAAGTACTGTGCATTGGGAGCCAAATCCTCCATAGCTGACTGGTCCTAATCCCAGCCCTGGAGCCTTGCAAAATATGTCAGGCATGTGTGCATATGCCCCAAATCCTGACAAGATGGAGAGATGACAGAAAAAGGATAGGGGTGTATCTGTGACTCACTCCCCGTTGGGGGATGGTTTCTCTCTGGCACATGCCCTCTGGCAATTAAAAAATAAATAAATATGGGCTAGCAGATGGCATAGCAGTTATGTTGCTGGACTCCATGGTCGACCCAGGTTAGAGTCCCAGAATGGGTGGCTTGAAACTCATGTAGGGAATGTGTGCGTGTGTTCCCAAGATCCCAGGAGGAGAGTGGAGGAGAAGGGATTGTGGCGTGGCCGTCTTCCCTGGGAGATGCGGGGGGGGGTGATTTCTCATTTTCCCTCTCATGGTCTCTGTCTCTTTAAGGCAAAAACCTCTACAAAAAGAAAAAAAAAAAAAAAAAAAACAAAAAAAAAGTTAAAATCCTAAAGGTTACTGAAAAAAAAAAAAAAAAAAACAGAAAAAATGTTAAATGCTACAGTGTATCTTAATAGTTACCATTTCTGTAGCTCTTGCATTAATTCCTGCTTCTGTTGTACAAAAGCCCTGAGGAATACAAAGGCTTCTCCTTCCTGTATCATTCACAGCACAAAGTGTCCTAAAAGTTAAGATAAATTCAACTGTAGCCCTGAGTTTCTAAGCCTTTCAGAAGTATGCAGTGGTAGAACTTGAATTTAGTTTAGTTCAGTAATTCGTAGTGGCAAAACCCAAAACGTCTTCAAACTGTGCTTTCAGTTTTTCTCCTTGAAATGAAAAACAAAAGGAATGATGTCTTCTTTATCTTTCAGGTATAGATCCAGACTTGCTGGTTTTTGAACAGTCACCTCTCACGTATCTAAATACCCGTTCCTCATCTAACAGGTGGGACAGACTAAGGATTCTAAAAGCTATGCATTTAGATAAGCAAGCCACCACCATAAACCATATGCTGCTGTCCACAGAGGCTTCGCCGCCAACCACGCACCCAGGTTTGGCTGGAAACACAGACAACGCCAGTTATTCCAAAGAGTTAACCACACAGTTGGGGGCAAGATTCATTTCTCTAAATGACCCCATTACCACGAAAGTAAATACGGTGTCACCAAGTACTGATTTCATCAACAATCCAAACAAGACGATTTCTCCTTTTTTTGTGCCCATAGACACAAAACTTTCTCATGTGCCTCTTTCGTCCCGACTCAACAGCAGCAAACAACTGCTGAACAAAACCAAGGGGCACGACAGCAGAAACCGCACATTTGAGGACGATGAGACCCGTGATGGGGCGTCTGTGACTTCAAAGGTCTGGCTGGTTCCTGCGGCCCTCTGTGCGTCTGTCATCGTCCTTGGCTGCTGCATAGTCATCCTGTTATCTGGATGCTGTCAGCAGCAGCAGGGACAGTACAAACTAGGAAAGAGAGTGAGGATCCAAGCAAATTCAAAAACATAGCCTTCTGAGAGAACTCTTAACAATCACAGGTGAGACTAAGCTTTCAAGGGCTTTGTTTTTAGCTTTTTTGTAAAATAAGGGCAGTTTAGTTACAGATTGCTTTTTTTAAAAAAAAGACTAATGCTTGATAAACACAATCCCTTTTTCAAACTTTTTTTTTTTTTGAGTAGTGTTCTCTTTGCCACAGTTCCAACATTCTGACCCCTCAAGCACCATGCGAAAGAGATTCCAAGTGCGTCAGGGGCATTTACGCATTGACCGCTTACAACTCTGCGAGTCAGGTATACTATTACTAACTTACACTACTACTGTCACACCCTACAGAGGAGAAAATGAGACCAAGAGAGTTCAAGCATCTTGCCTAGTCACACGGCTAGTAAGCAGGCAAGCCAGGACTTAATTAAATATGCAATTTGTTTAAAATGTCCACACTTAAATCACTTCAAGACAAAGAGCCTCCTTTTTTCCAGTAAGCATGAAAACAAGAATGGAAGAAAATACCTTAACATCATCCTATTTGTCTCAGTCAAGGTCAAATTATTGTCATATACATGAATGAAATTGGGTTAGCACTATTAGTTACCCAGAAGCAAATGCTTCCTGATTGTTTATTATTTTTGGCATAGGGTACATGCACTTGCTGTGGAGAGATAGAGACACTAAGAGAGAAAGTGAGAGATCACCCCCCCGAGGGGGAGTGGCCCTGTCACAATTCCTTCTCTCCATTCTCCTCCTGGGATTTAGGGCATGCATGCTTACGTGCCCGGCATGAATTTCAAGTGCCAGGCCTGGGACTCGAACTATGGCTGGCAGTGCCTTAACCACTACACCCACCTGCTGGTCCTGCTTCCTGATCTGCATCTACCTTTCTATGATCAGTTCATTTACACTTTTCAATCCCAGTCCATGAGATGACTTCCGGTAGCTATGGTACTGAGCTCTTGGAGCTTTCTGCATTGATTTCTGTTGAATAAAGTTTGAGTGCTTTAGTTTACAACCCGATTTCCCCAGGTGTAAATATTAGCTCTAGGTATTTCGGTTCTGTCTAAATCTTAAACAACTTACTTCAAAATCTCACACTCAGACTCAAGTATAGGATACTGTAGTTCAAGTCTCAATTTTTTGTTTTTAGGTTTTTGCCACAAGGTACATGCGCTTGCTCCCGGAGGAATGGCCATGCTGCAATCCCTTCTCCTCCAGTCTGCTCTTGAGATTTTGGGCAAGCACATGCACAGCGTTATTCGAGCCGCTGGGTCTGGCTCGAACCGTGGTTAGCCATGTGGGAGTTCAACACCTTAAACCACCATGCCACCTGCTAGTCCCATCTCTAATGATTTTAAAATTTAGGCCCTTCATCTCATTCCTAAAACCATATTTAATGTGAGGTTAGATAAAAAAAAAAGCCAAAAAGTATACAAAATAAATAAGGGGATGTCCTGTTATGAAATTAATGAAATATTGGTCTCATAGATGTTAAAACAAATTGTCCAGTAGATTAAAAAGTTGTTTCTGGGGTGGGACCAGCAGGTAGCGTGGTGGTTAAGGTGCTGGACTCCCACATGGCTGACCACGGTTTGAGTCCCAGACCTGGCAGCTTGCTTTCTTCCCTTCCCTCTCTCGCTCTCTCTGTGTCTCTCCCTGGTCAAATTAAAATGAATGAATGAATAAAAATAAATAAATAATTTTTTTAAAAAGTTGTTTCTGGGGCCAGCAGGTGGCATGGTGGTTAAGGGCGCTAGACTCCCACCTGGCCAACTGTGGTTCGAGTCCCAGACCTGGTGGCTTGCTTTCTCACTTTCCTTCTCTCTCTCGCTAACTCTGACCCTCTCTGGTCAAATTAAAATAAAGTTAAATAATTCTTTAAAAAGAAAAGTTGTTTCTTTTTCTTTCTCTGGTATTGACAATGGATGGAAAAGAAAATGACTATTTTTTTAAGAGAGATTTTTGCTATAGAGTGCGTGTACTCTCCAAACAGAGACAGAAAGCAAGAAATCACCCCCTCCAAGGAGGATAGCCATGCCATAATCCCTTCTCTATTCTCCTCTTGGGATTTTGGGAAGGTTCGCACACGTGCCCAGCCTGAGTTTTTAAGTTGCTGGGTTTGGAACTTGAACGGCAATTGACCATATGGAGTCGAGCAACGCAACCATTACGCCATCCGCTGGTCCTATTTCTTTTAACATAAAAGAAATATACAAAATCTCCTTCAGTGGAATATATCAATCAAAAATAAAAATCTGATTTAAAATATAATCAATTTACCTTAAGTTGCTAATGATTCATACTATTATGTATCATAAATTTTATCAAGCTCTTTCTTAATACATTAGGGGAATAAACACATGATTCTGGGTGTGGGGACAAGATTTAAATGACCTAAAATTGTATTTAAATAAATAATTCAGTAAGCTGCCCTTACAAATTATTTGTATCTGCATTCTTTTAAAAAACTATTTAATTTTAAATATGTATGATCTGCTTACAGGTCTCCCAACAAACTAGGTCTGCTAGAAAAAGTTCTTCTCATGCCAGGTGTGTGTGTGTACATGCCCAAAATCCTGGAGGGAGAGAGAGATGGAGAAGGGACTGTTGTGTGGCCATCCTCCACTGGAGGTGCTTTCTCTTCTCCTCTCTGTCTCTGGCCAGTGCAAGCACCATCTAATAAGAAAAAATAAATAAAATAAGTTTTTCTCTCTTGGGGTTTCTCAGATTTTTATGCATTCCTTAAAGTGAAGTCCCATATGGGAAAATACTTCTTTGTAATATAAACATATACCTTCTCTTCATCAGTGTCTACTTTTGACCATCATATAAACCAAACAAACTTGAACTAGAGAGGCAACTCGGTCCAGAACCAGTCAAGAAGCACACTGGGGCTAGAAACCTTATTGGAAGACAAAAAATTAAAAAATAAAAATATATCAATTGGAGAACTGAACAAAATTTTAAAATCTGTTAAGAAACAGTCAAATATTGGGACCTAGAGCAGATGGCATAATGGTTATATTGCTAGACTTCCACATGGCCAACCGTGGTTTGAGTCCCAGGCCCAGTGGCTTAAAACAGAATGCTGGGCATGTGTGTGTGCATCTACAAGACCTGAGAGAAGAATGGATCGCTGTATGGCTATCCCCTAACTCTGGGGGTGAGTTCTTTCCTTCTGTCTCTCTGTTAAGCACACATGCCCTATAGAAAAAAATCTTAAAAAAAAAAAAAAAAAAAAAAAGGAAAAGAAAAAACAGTCAAAGATCTGAGACCAAGCCGAAAACTAATGCTAAGGTTGTTACACCCTCTTACGAAGTAACCAAGAAATCTTCCTAACATCACAATCAGACATACTTTAAAAAGAAAAAAAAAAGTGGGGAGGGGCCTCCCAGCTGGTGGTGTAGTGGTTAAGGTGCTGGACTCCCACATAGATGACCATTGTTCAAGTCTCAGACCTGGCAGCTTGAAACTCACACCAGGTGCGTGTGTGTGCGTGCCCAAAATCCCAAGAGGAGAATAGAGAAGGGACTGCAGTGTGCCCATACCCTCCTGGGGAGTGATTTCTCACTGTCTCTCTGTCTCTGTCCCTACGACAAGCACATGCAACCTAATAGCAAAAATCTCTGTCAAAATATAAAAAAGGCCATAGCTGTCCAGTATGATAAAGTACCAAAGTTGGGGAAAAAATATGTAAAGCAAGAACTCAAGCATCCTGCAACTAAGAAAACAGGTTCAGGGACCAGCAGGTGGCATAATGCTGGATTCCCATGTAGTCGACCCAGTCGGGTTCAAGTCCCGGACTCACAAAAGTTTTTTGTTTTGTTTTTTTATAATTTTTATTTATTTTATTTAGAGATTTTTGCTATAGGGCATGTGTGCTTACTGGAAAGAACAAAAGAGACAGAGAGACAGAAAGCAAGACATCACCCCCAAGATGGGGATGGCTATGCCACAATCCCTTCTTCATTTTCCTCTCAGGATCTTGGCCATGCGCACTCACCCGGAGTGAGTTTTAAGCTTCTGGATCTGGGACTAGAACCATGTGAGTCCAACTTATGTAACCATTATGCCATCTGTTGGCCCTTTAATCAATTCCTTAGTTCCCTAAGTATTGAAGCAACTTCTGAACTCTACAACTTCAGTTTGAAATCAGAAATGACTGCATAATCAATAGTGCAAAAAGCTTCCCCTAAAAGTCTAATAAGGACAAGACAAAGTACACTGTATATAGTGAATCAATGAACAGATTTTAAAGGACAGAAATATAATCACAAATAGTGCTGCTTAGTTATTGCAAAAAATACGATAGCAACTTTTTTTTTTGAGACATTTTTGCTATAGGGCACATGCACCACTAGAGGGATAGAGAGACAGAAAGCGAGAAATCACCCCACACCCCATCCCCGGGGAATGGCCACACCACAATCCTTTCTCCTCCATTTTCCTCTCAGGATCTTGGGCACACGTGTACACACACCCAGTATGAGTTTCAAGTTGCCAGATCCAGGACGCAAAACTGCAGTCAGCTGTGTAGGAATCTCCAGAGCCTTATCCACTATGCCACCTGCTGATCCCAGGGTTTTCCATTAATCACACAGCTCTAAGATTTGGCCATTAGGTGTCAATGACTGTGACCTAAGAGTCTTCAAGAATGAGGCTTGGTGCTGGTCAAATACAAGAGTCCACCGTGGTTCTCTACAAAACTGCCCTCCCTTCTGACACCAACTCTAAGTTGGGAGGGGTAGTTTAAAAAAAAACACCCTGACATTCAATAATTCACTAGAGCTCAATAGAAGCTTTCATACTCTATTGGTTACAGTTTATTGTAAGAAAAGGATACAAATTAAGTCTCCTAAGGGACGAAACATATGTTTCAGTCCAAAAGAGTTTCAGAGCTCAGTTTCTGGAGTCCTCTGCCCCTGGAGTCAAGAACGATCACTTGTCCATTGTTAGTGCAGCAGGTGGCTTGGTGATTAAGGCACTAGACTCCCATATGGCAGAGCACGTTTTGAGTTCCAGATCTGGCAGCTTGAAACTCATGCCAGGTGCTGAGTGTGTTCCCAAAGTCCCAAAGGAGAGTGAAGAAGGGACTGTGGTGTGGCCATCCCCCTGGAGGGTTATTTCTTGCTTTCTCTGTCTCTCGAGCAAGTGCATGTGCCCTATGGCAAAATCTCTAAGGAAAAAAAAAATTATTATACATCATAACTCCCTCTGCTTTTATCACTGAATCATTACACAGGATGGACCACCCTTAGCTACCACTGCTTCTTACGTTCTCAAATGTTCTCTTCAGCCTCTTCTACTTTCAAAATGTTCTCTTCAATCCTGTTTTTGTATCTGAGTTCTCCTTAGCTCCATATAAGTCTTTAAATGTACTGTTATATTTAAATATGCTCTAAACATGATCTAAGAATTGTTTTATTTTGCTTTTCATTCATATTTTTCACCTGCTGGAACATAACCTAACTCTCCCTTTTCAGTACATAAGGCCATATTGTTGTCTCTTATAATCTATGGACCATGGTTTTCCTAATAACAAACCATATCTTCATTTTATACAAATGTTTTTGCCAACTGTTTTGAAATTCCTTCGGCGTTATTTACAGTCTCTAATTCTGTTAGGCAAAGCATATCTACAAAGAAAATAAACTCTTAATCATTCCTTTACTTTGATTTTAAATAAACCATTTGTTCACAGTTTTAAAGTGGTAAGAAATGACTCATAGAATATATGGAACTGACAGCTAAATTTAATGGAGTGCTGTTAAGGCAGTTCTCATTAAGTCCAATTAAATTCTAGGTCCAGCTACCTGGTGGCATGGTGGTTAAGATGGCTGGATTCTACATGGCTGAGTATGTGGTTCAAGTCCCAGACTCAGCAGCTTAAAAGACATGGCAGATACATGTGCCAAAGTCCCAAAGAGAAACAGAGGAGAAGGGATTGTGGCATGACCAGTCACTAATGGGGGTGCTTTCTCACTGTCCCTCTTTCTCTGTAGAGTGTATGCACTCTGTGGCAAAAAAAATCACAGTCCCTATACTCCATCTTTTTCCTGAGCTGTGGCAGCTCTAACTGGGACACCCAGGACTATACCAGCTACTACTTTTCTGAAATCTTGGGCTTGACAAAATGCCAAAAGTATAGAATTTACTTACTAAATAAATAAAATAGAATATTAAACAGAGTTGAATTACAATAAAGTGCTCTCAAAAGGGAGAGACAGAACAAACTTTCTAGGGTAGAAAACACTCCTGAGGAACTGCTTCTAACCAGGGACAACGGAGAAAGCTATCAGCAGACGGCAGTCATGATCGAGCTCTGAGCTCCACGTCAGGGCCGGATTCTAGGCCTCGCTGCCCAAAATAACCAATAGAGTCACTAAACACTCATTGGTGGGAAAAGAAATGTAGCAAGTGACAAAATAACACCAATCTGTATATATATGAACGCTAAAGTTACGTGAAAATAAAATCAAAACTTTAGAACCAGAAGAAATTACAGAGGTCTTCTAATTAGTCTAACTGCCTACGTGTATAAATAAGAAAACCTGAACTAACCATTACTACTGCACATTAGTATGAAAGGCATCGTTTTAACTCTAAAGAAAACAATGGTTTTAGAGCATTTTCAGTTTTACTTATGACAAAGTAGACATTGATTACATATCACAAACTTAATAAATCAAGTAGATTTTACTCCTTCATAATTCATGTCAAATTCAATAGTCTTTTCACTGATTCTTTGTACTGAGA